CTCACATCCAATAGTTATGAAAGACATGTGTGCTCATTGCGGCGAAAATCTACGGAGGTAAATTCTATGACTGCGGGTTGATTGTTGACCTTAGAACTGGATTTATATTGTAGGAAGAATGGTTTACCGGGCGAAAGGCTGTCCTCCACTAGTGCTCAAGTGGCTATGATTCACAGCATCCCAGAATTACAGATATCGCCACAGGTAGGTGGTTGGTGACTGACATGCACTCGATTAGTTCGTGACTGCATGCGAGGAGGCTAGGATGAAAATCAGCTTAGCAACACTAGGGCTCTGTTACTTTTGCAAAGGCTTCTGTGTTTGAGGGTAGATTGACTGCATCTGTGAGAAATGGCGAAGTTTACGTATAACACTATGAGTAACCACTTTCAGGAAGTAGAAATATGCACAGAAGTCGGTCAAGCGAGTGCGATAGTACTGAATTTAAACTGATCTGTGGTTGTGAAGAAACAAATCAGCCATAATCGGAAGCTCTGAAGCCTGTGGTCGTCCGAATGCCTCACCTGTGATCACGAATGCTTAATTTTGATCAAAAAAGTAAGCACCAGGAAAGCGTTTCATTCGGCTTATTGCTGACGTGATGAGGCACCACAGGCATTGGAATGCAGCCATGTTTAACACCCTCGAACGTGAACCGTTCCATTTTCAGATGGCGTGTTTACACTTGGCGGTGATCTTGGCCGTATGATCGTGATATCAGAAAAATGACTCACGTCGTGCAACAGATGGTCTGCATCCAGACCTTCGACTGAATGGTTTTAATGTATTGAAAACTAAGCATTTTCGCACCTCCGTTCCATTTGGCGGAGAACTGGAATGCTGCTGTCTTCGCATTCCAAAAGAAATGGCAAGCTGTGAATATGAATGAAAGGCATTTCCTGTGACTTCAAAAAGCAACGTATGATAGTCCTTAGCAACTCTGAAATCCGCAGTGAAGTTTCTTCTTTAGATTCGTCATATAAATTGGATGCATCTCCAGTTAGATCGAGTCCCATTCACTTGAACAATCTGTTTCTGCTGATAGCCGCCTTTTGAGATCTACATAGGAAAATTATGAACTTTGGCTGCTGAGATTCCCCAATAATTTTTAAATTGTGCGATTGTTTGTGCCTTAGATCGTGCAAATGATCGTAACTTGTTGAATAAATTTGTTAATCGAAGTTTCACCTGTTTCTTTTGCGCTTTTACGAACCTTTCTCTTTTCTTTTTCTTTGTATAGGATAAAACTAGCGATCCTGTTCTACTGATTTTGGTGTTCAATCAAAATCTTTCATTATCTGAGGTCTACTCGTCGCCACACTACTTGAAATTAGAAGCATAACATTCATAACGCTGTTTAATTTTGTTCATTGTTCTACGCCACTTATGTTTAATGCGTGGTATTATCTTTTGTGTGCTCGAAACTGATTCGAAAAAAACTGGGGCAAAACAAGTATTCAGTGGTATAAGCGACATTTCCTTTCAGAGCATCGCGAAATTTATTCATGTTTCATGAACTGTTTTGAGTGTGAAATCAAAGGTTGAATAACGTTCGGTGTGTTTTCATTACATTCATAACGCTTTGAAACACCAATATTTTAAACAAATCTCATATGACGTTACGAACATAATTCTATTTCTCACTGTGAGGGCGAGTAAAACTCCTGATTAACGTGAAAGACGTAACAGCTCACTAGGATGTACTGCACGACGCAAATCGAAAATGACACCTAGGATGAGTCAGTATTTGAATGGTCGACCACCTGATAGTCACGTGAACATGAAAATGACTGGCCTTCTGCGCTAGTTAATTCAGAATGCGTAACATGTTTCGAACCCATTTCCACAAATACGATGCGCGCATAAATGAGAAGTCGAATCCGGGGGCTGCTGTTAGTGCTTAGCTATGATGGGTCCGTCATTTGCTGTGTCTTCATTTAGTATGAAAATGTTTTCGACCATTACATTGTATCTTTATACCAGGAAGCAAAGAAATACGGTTTTATCGAGAAACTTCGGTTGTTAAGGAGTCGCCGACTTGTACTGTTAGTTGATCTCGATCAAACGTTGATCCATACGACAAATGAAGATATTCCGCCGACGATGAAAGTGAGACGAGAACGTTTTTGTTGCTTGTGCTTGATGTTTTTGCTTTAGAATGTGATGCATTTTCAACTGGACGGACCGACATGGTATCACATGCGTATGCGGCCTCATACTCTTGAGTTTCTGCACTCTGTTTCCCAGAAGTTTGAACTGCACATTTGCTCGTTTGGCGCCCGCATGTACGCTCATACCGTGGCGCGGATGATGGATCCTGACGGTGCGCTATTTGGCCTTAGAATCTTGTCAAGAGACGAATGCTTCGACCCATTTCTGAAGACTGCTAATTTAAAGTAACCTTTGAAATCTGCCATTTTCTTAAATCTGATTGAGATTGACATAGGTGATGGACACGGAATTTCTCTCTTTTGAGGTTCAGTTTAGAAAGTTTCCATTAGCTGTATTTCTTCTGCCAACTACTAATCGTGCTCTAGAGCTTGACAAGAGAGGCGGCTGATTATCATTATTTGTTTATGATTCGCTGTACTGATCAAATATTGCCGTTGCTTTCCTAACTTTCTTCCAGCCCAGTCGATTCAGAGAAATGAAGACCTTTATTAGGTTTTGGTCGCGGACAGATACTGACGAGTGGCGGGTAACCACAGACTTAGCCTACTGGAGGGGGCTCCTGTATCATTTTTAGGCCCACACATCTGTAGGAGACTGCGTATTCGTAATGAACACCTTTAGCACGGTGGATCTACATATGATATCGCGCGCAGAAATCACGGGTTGAGTCTGTCGGTATTAGCGAATCTGTTTTCGATGGTGCTAGACG